CCCCCCTGAGCGTGGCCCACGTGGAACAGCACAGTCAAGGACATGGCAGCCAGGCAGCATAGACAAGACTCTGCCCTCATGCCCCATCGCGCACAGTTGATGCTGCAGGGCACGGGGAGAGGGCGTGGCCACCATGGTGCTGCTGGGCTGCCTGGGTGATCTGCGGCGGGCCCTGGACGGGCAGATGGCGGGCCCTGCGGGCAGACGGGGTGGGGGCGGGGCAGGGGGTGGAATGGGGGCAGGACCAGTTTTTGGGCATTCAGTCTCTAAAAGGTTCGCCATCACTGCCCTATATAGATAGTCCTCAATTTATGACCACAATCGAGCCTACAATTTCTGTTGGTATATAGTGAGAGAGTGGTTAAGTGACTTTTGCCCCACTTTATGCCCTTTCTTGCCACAGTTGTTAAGTGAATCACTGCAGTTGTTAAGTTAGTAATGCAGTTATTAAGTGAATCTAGTTTTCCCCATTGACTTTGCTTGTCCAAAGGACGCAAAAAGTGATCTCATGACCATGGGACTCTGCAACCATCAGACCTATGAGCCAATTACCAAGCATCTGAATTTTGATCATGGGCAGGGCTTTTTTTGTCATAGAACGCCCAGAATAGAGTTCTGGCACTTTTTTTGGATGGAACCTTGTAGGGTAGGCAAGGCGGGTTGTATGACGTGTGTGAGTTCCGGCACCTTTTTTTTTTTTTTTTTTTACAAAAAAAGTACTGATCATGGGGATGCTACAATGGTCACAAATGTAAAAAGGGTCATAAGTCACTTTTCTCAGTGCTGCCATAATGAATGGACTGGTTGTATAGATTTGGCATCTTGGCTTCACTCTCTAGTATTGTAAATGATCTTAGGCCTCCTTGGAACGATTATCCATGCCTTCTTCTAGCAAGGATGTATCCTGCGTTCTCCGTTGATTGCAAATATCACAGGGCAATGTGGAAAATGCACCACCTTTGGAAGTCTTTGCCCAACCCTATTAATCCAGGGGTCCCCAATCCCCGGTGTATGGACCGGTATCAGGCCGCGGCATGCCAGCAATCCGTCCGCACAAACAAGCAAAGCCCCATCTGCGGGATGCAGGCAGCACACAAAACCACACACACCCCTCCAGTTCACGGAAAAACCTTTCTCCACAGAACCGGTCCCTGGTGCCCAAAAAGTTAGGGACTTCTGTGTTAATCAATTATTTTAAACTGAGCAGTTTTAATTTACTGATCCAGTAAATTAAAATTTCCTGGATCAGTAAGTTAAAAAAAAAATTGAACAGGCAACAGGTTTTTGGCTATGTTCTCCCTCAGTTTTCATGTTCCTCTATGTCATTTATGTTCTACTTCACTTGCCTTGAGAATCCCCCTGGGCAGAAACATTCAATAACATACCAAAATGATGGAATTGAAGGGGAACTCATCACATTTCCAGATGACACCAAACTGGCAGGAGTAGCCAACACCCCAGAAGGCAAACTCAGGATCCAAAAAGATCTCAACAAACTTGAATAATGGGCCCTATCCAACAAAATGAGTTTCAGTGTGGAGAAAAGCTAAGTTTTACATTTAGATAGGAAAAATAAAAGGTACAAATACAGATTAGGCGAGACCTGGCTTAAAATCAGTAACTTGTGAGAGAGACCTTGGAGTCCTAGTGGACAATCACTTGACTATGAGCCAGCAGTGTGCAGCAGCAGCCAAAAAAGCTAATACAATCCTGGGTTGTATAAACAGAGGCATAGAATCAATATCACCCGAAGTATTAGTACCGCTTTACAAAGCCCTAGTAAGGCCACACCTGGAATACTGCAGCCAATTTGGGTCACCGTATCACAAAAAAGATGTTGAGAGTTTGGAAAAAAAAATTCAGAGAAGAGCAACTAAGATGATCAAAGGCCTGGAGACTAAAACATACGAAGAACGGCTGCGGGACTTGGGTTTGGCTAGTTTAAAGAAAAGAAGGACAAGGGGTGACATGATAGCAGTGTTCCAGTATTTGAGGGGCTGCCACAAAGAAGAGGGGCGTCACATTATTCTCCAAAGCACCAGAGGGCAGGACGAGAAACAATGGTTGGAAACTGATCAAAGAGAGAAGCAACCTGGAATGAAGGAAAAACTTCCTGACAGTGAGGACAATTAACCAGTGGAACAGCTTGCCTCCAGAAATGGTGGGCACTCCAACACTGGAAATTTTTAAGAAGAGACTAGACAGTCACTTGTCTGAGATGGTATAGATCCTCCTGCTTGAGCAGGGGGCTGGACTAGAAGACCTCCAAGGTCCCTTCCAGCTCCACTATTCTTTCATTCTTTCAAAACAAAGAATAGCGAGGGGTCCTTGGTGCTCTCTGAGCTTGCTTGTTTTCTTGCAGACATTTCATTACTAACACTGATGATGTTACCTAGTTTGGGTAATGAAACATCAGCAAGAAAACTTCAAACTCTGAGAGCAGAGTTTTAACCCTGAGCTACAAATATTCTCTTTTATTGGTACAAAGAACAGTTTTCTGGGACCCAGATAGGGCAAAGAGACCTGGTTCTACATGAAAGCAGAACTGGGTGCCAATCAGATGCCAGTAATGGAAACATTCACGAGGGAGAGGGGGAGGAAAGAGAGAGAGAGAGAGAACATCTCAACGGTCCCCATGCTTCAATTTCCCAAGGAAGAAAGTTCAAAGCCAGACAGCGGGGGAAAAACGTGGCCAGAGGAGACTATCAGGATGCTGAGTTGCATCTCTCCAGGGCCTTGCAGGAACAAACGGAGGACATTAGCATCATAAAGCAAGCTGTTAAATTAGCATAACAAACCCCTAATAATTAATTACTGCTAGTGCAGTTCAGCTCTGTAGAGGAGAGACAGAGACTAAATTTCAGCGGCTCATTTTGGCTAGAAATAGGCTGCCAGCTCAGGGTCAGATGATGCAGCTTCTCTGGTCCAGGGGAAAAACTCCCTCAAGTGGTTTTGGGTTGGACCTTTGCAATTTTGTTTTCTTGTTTGCATAATCATGGCTTACTGGACGTCCAGCGTCCTGACTCGGTTTCTTAAAGCTTAAATCTGTTCTCCTGCGGACGTTCTTGCATTCGTTGCAATTGGAGGCTGAACATGTTGCTAGCTTCTCCCTCAGTTGGTGAATGTAATAATAATAATAATAATAATAATAATAATAATAATAATAATAATAATAATAATAATAATAATAATAATAATAATAATAATAATAATAGTAGCAGTAAAGTTGGAAGGGACCTTGGAGGTCATCTAGTCTAATCCCCTGCTCAGGCAGGAAACCCTATACCATTTTGGACAAATGGCTGTCCAGTCTCTTCTTAAAAACTTCCAGTGTTGGAGCATTCACCGCTTCTGGAGGCAGGTGGTTCCACTGGTTAATTGTTCTAACTGTCAGGAAGTTTCTCCTTAGTTCTAGGTTGCTGCTCTCCTTGATTAGTTTCCATCCGTTGCTTCTCAATAATAATAATAATAATAATGATAAAGTTGGAAGGGACCTTGGAGGTCATCTAGTC